ACATCATAAAGTATTCTTTTTCCACGTATGATTTGCTTGCGCGCGCGCACACATATAATTAATATATATATATAAGAGAAATAGTGATCAAGAAAGAAAAAAAGGTGTTTGAATTTTTCAAATACTGCATGTACCCTCTCATTCTAGATTTGCTTTTTAACGTGATTTCCTCCACCGGAACAATAGAAAAGAATTGAAGAAGAAGATGATGGAAACTCTTTGTGAAAAGGAAAAATAAGGAAGGATGGGTGAAAATCATGAAAGGAGACAGACCAATCATCACCATTTTCGTTGAAACCAAGAAATTGACTCTCCCAAGCAAGGGTTGAGTGAAGAAACGAAAATAAGTTTCACTCATTTTGACTAATGGTTAATGAAGTAGGTTGAGAACTATGTGATCTCGTATTCAAATTCGAGCTAGCAAAGATAAACACACTATATATAAATGATTTTGGGGGGACAATGTTATGTGGGACCTATGCTGGCGCCATAAGGAGGTAGAAGATCCTCGTGGAATTAATTAATCGAGGTACACACACGCTGCTGCAGATACCGCGATTAAAAGAAAGTTAAATGCACCAACAATGTAAACTTTCTATGTATAAATACAATTTAAGCAATGCAAGTTATGCCTCTATTTCAAAAGTTACCGCCGTATAAAACTTGTTGCTAAAAATTACATGTTATATACGTAAACATATATGATAGTCTTAAAAAACTTATATGTTTTCAGTGCACAATCTTGAATATATTTTTAGTTCATTCCCTCTCCATTTAATTTAGCTTTTCTTTAGTTTTTGCGAGAGAGAAGAGGCAGGAAATAAAGATTTTTCTTATTTGTTTAAATATTGGTGGACAAAATATGAGGTACTTGTGCTGATGGAAAATAACAATTGATATCTCGTAAAATTAATCGAGGTATGAGCAAGTTGATCCGAACATCACCATTATTTTATTTTATTTTATTTTAAAAAAGGAGGGACAAGTAAAGAGAGAGATATTTAAGGAAGATTCATTGTTTGTGTTGAAATTGGATGCTAGGAAATATATGATGACGTCGATCTTATTCAAAATCATTAGGTCTTCCCCTAAATGGACATATTATCACTCATTCCCCAACAATAATGACTTGTCTTTTGTTCAACAGGGTAATAACTGTTGTATAATGATCTAAAGTAAGAATATCATACCATTACATATTTTAAGATTTTTGTACACAGTTTCGTTAAACAACATCATAACTTGTCATTTTTTTAAAGAATTATTTACATGCATTTTCAAAAAAAAAAAAATAACATCATAACACTAGAAATCTAACATTATAGTATAGATTGTCGTGTCCGTCGGCAGGCTTTAATTGGTAAATTTGTTGCCTATGTTAAAAACATGTCTAAAATAAAAAGTCAATCTCATCAATAGCACATTAAAAGTAAAATTGTGTCTTTACATATTTGACTCATAATTGTACTCTTCTTTTCATTATTTGTTTTCCTATTATGCAATTATTTGAGTATGTAACACTTATGACTAAGCCAGCCACGTTACCTTTTTGTGACAAATAAGTGCCAATAACTGAATTCTAAGTAAGGCGTTTGGACATAAGAATTGTAAAATTTGAAGAAATGGTGGAAAAAAATTTCAAGTGAAAATGGTATTTGAAATTTAGAGTTGTGTTTGGACATAAATTTCAGTTTGGGTTATTTTTGGAGTTTTGTGAGTGATTTGAGTGAAAATTTTGAAAACCTGCTTTTTGCAGTTTTTCAAATTTTCGAAAATTTCCAAAATGCATCTTCAAGTGAAAATTGAAAATTTTATGAACAAACGCTGATTTCGAAAAAAAATGAAATTTTTTTGAAAAAATCTTCCATCAAATTTTATGTCCAAACGGGCACTAAATTTAGTATTTGTACATATTTAATGAATTTTTTTAATACAAATACAATATTGAGCAAAAGTTATTTGAATTCGGCCGAACCCGTAGCCGGACTTCTAGTTCCGCTCTGGATGTACGTCGAAATATATCATGACAAATGTGGTTTTGATTATCGTTTATTATAGGGAAACTTACACAAATGTCCCAAATAAATCTCAACTTACCAACCTCAGCCATTAGTCATAGACTTACCAAAACTAGCCAACAAAAATTGAAAAACCAAATAATAGGGTTCTTCTCTCAAAGAATCACATGCAAAAATCACCTTCCATATTTTTAAGCGTGATTAGCAACATTAGACACAAGACGGAAAGGAAATTTCATGGACGGGGTAGCAAATAAGGTGATGAAATACAAAAATCTATACAATATTCCAAAAATCTAAACAAAAAAGGAACTTTTTCGATGGGTATAGTTGAAATTCATTGAAAATATATAGATAAGTCAATATACAAAATTTGAGGAAGATTGGAGGTGATTTGGACTGGTTTTGTATCAAAATTCGTAATTAAATCGAGTTCAAAAAAGTCTTCTGCGACACATGTATCAAACATGTATCACGCATGTATCTCACACACAGGTATACATGGATATACATGTCATACACAATTGATACAAATATGATACATATGTGATACACAAATGATACACAGTGTGATACACATATCATTTTTTTTTCATGTTCAGCTTTTACTTCGAATTTTGAATTCAAACCACCTCAAAACTTCACCAAATCATCCCAAAACTGAGATTCAAGCTCCTTAAGTTATTCCCAATCTATTCTAATAGCACCCACTCAAAACAAAGCAATTGGCGTACCAGAATTTGATAGTTATTTTCGAGCTGAATTATCAAACTCAGTAGACGTGGAGACACGCGAGAGGATACTAAAGGAAGCTATTAATGAAGTGAAGATCAATAACTGTATACTAGCTAGTAAACAACTAGAGAAAATAAAGAGACTGATAAATGTTAAGGGATGGAAAATTCAAAGATTAGATNTTAAAATATATGTGAGAAACGACTTGACTTCCAAGGGGCTCATACATATTGTTAAAGGATTCCTTTACTCCACTAACAGAAATAAAGATTTCGTAAACTATAATGAGGGTAAATAGTTTAAATAATTAGTGAAATATCATTTAGATAAAAGTCCATGTCTTTATGATATATGTAAATATGTTCTTATATTATTGCCTTTTCTTTTCTATATTTTAGATTTTTCAATATATCTGTTATATCACTGCGTAAAATACTTAAGACCAGCAAGTTGGTAGGACCAAACTTTGATGACTGGTATAGAAATTTGAGATTAGTTCTCATACATGAAAAGCTCATTGATGTGTTCGATAAGCCTAGCAAAGATAATCCCACCAGAGAATGATGTTCAAGGCACCAAGGTTTATCAGAAACACTTGGAAGAATGCCTTGCTATTAAACACATCATTCTCGCTTCTATGAGTTCTGAACTCCAGAGGAAACATCAGAATATGGATCCAACTGCAATCATTGAATATCTTAAGAAGATGGTTGATACACAGTTGGACATTGAAAACTCTCCAGTTGGACCCCTTGTCAATCATATGATTGTTCTTACCGAAGAACATGAGAAGTTGGGGTACAAGCTTGGTAAAGAGCTTTCTGAAGATTTGATCTTGCAGTCAGTATATGATGCTGAATGTTTTCACTGTAAGAAGAAAGGGCATTGAAAGAGAAACTGCAAGGAGTATCTTGCAACTCTAAAGGACAAGAAACAAGGTGAAACATTAACGAAAAATGTTTTCAATGTTTCTTTAGCTACTACTAATTCTTCGCTGTGGGTATTAAATACTGGCAGTGGTTATAACATCTGTACTATGTTGCAAGGGTCAAGATAAGTAGGAGGCTAAAGAAAGGAGAAGTTAATCAACAAGTTGGAAATGGTGCAAAAGTTGCGGCTGTAGCAGTAGGATCAATTTCTTTAATAATGCCTACGGGGAAAGTACTTATGTTGTATGATTGTTATTACGTTCCTAAATTTGTTTCGAACATAATTTTAGCTTCTATATTAGACAAACGTGGTTTTCGCATTAATATAGGCAATGGTATTTGCTCTATTTATTATAGTGATATTTTATATGTGAATGGCTATCTCCAACATGACGTTTATGTATTACCTAATGTGAATGCTAATTCGATTATGCATGTTTCAAGTCTTAAGAGGTGTGACGACCCGGCCAGTCGTCTCATGTGTAACCACTCTGTTTTCCCCATTTCTGCTTCTTATTGCTTTGTCTATCCGTGTTTTGAGGTATCGAGTTGGTCGGATTGAATCCGGATTGGTTTTGGTGAGGTTTGAGACACTTAGTCTCTTTTAAAAAGGCTTAAATTGGAAAAGTCAACCGGATGTTGACTTATGTGTTAGAGGGCTTGTATGTGAGTTCCGATGGTTCGGTTAGCTTCGGGAGATGATTTGGGACTTAGGAGTGTGATCGGAATGGGTTTTTGAGGTTTGGAGAAGATTTAGGCTTGAATTGGAGAAGTTGATATTTCGACGATTTCCGGTTGGTAGGCGATATTTTGATATAAGGGTCGGAATGGAATTCTGAGAGCTGTAGCAACTTTGTTGTGTCATTGGGATGTGTGTGCAAAATTTCAGGTTATTCGGATGTGGTTTCGTTAGCTTTTTGATCAAAAGCGGAATTCGGAAGTTTTTAGAAACATAGGCTTGAATTCGAGGTGTTTTGGTTGATTTGATGTTGTTTGAAGTGTTTTGATGATTGGAACAAGTTTGAATAAGGTATTAGGATATGTTTGTGCTTTCGGTTGAGGTCCCGAGGGGCCTCGGGGTGATTTCTGGTGGTTAACGGAGAGGTTGAGGTGTTATTGTAGCTGCTGAGATTGCTGCTTCTGGTGTTTTCGCACCTGCAGTTTGGGGAGCGCAGCTGCGGCCAGAGGTTTGTTTGACTGGGACTGCAGAAGCGGCTAGAAGAACCGCATCTGCGATGATGCAGATGCGGGCGAGGAACCGCAGATACGGATGGCTGGGAACTTAGGTGATTGCACAGAAGCGCAGAAGTAACCGCAAATGCGGTACCGCAGAAGCGGTGAAATGGTCGCAGATGCGAAAATCCCTGACCAGAAGGTATATATTGTCTTCTTCGCGAAATTTTGCTAAGTTCATCGTTTTTGAAGACGGGAAAAGAGGCTAAGGCATAGGATTTCAAAAAGAATCAATGGATATCAGTTGGGTAAGTTCCCTAAGCTTAATTACTTGGGTTTATGATCATTTTTCCACTGTTTAATCATGGTTTTAGTTGGGATTAAGGAAGAAAAAATTGGGGATTAGGACTTGAATTTAAGAGGCCTTTAAATGGGGATTTGAGGGATCATTTGGACACCGATTTCAGTGTTCTTGATATGTATAGACTCGTGGGAAGATAAGGAATCTAGTGGTGTAAAAAATTCTGAATTTCGAGATGTGGGCCCGGGAGTCGGGTTTTGGTAATTTCGGGATTAGTGCTAATTGTTGATTATTTTCACTTGGGCTTCGTTCCCTTTGCCTAATTTGACGTCCTCGTTCTGATTTTGGATAGATTCGACGCGCGTGGTGGTCGATTCGAAGGGCAAAGGCATCGCGGAGTAGTATTTTCACTGGTTTGAGGTAAGTAACCATTGTAAATCTGGAACTGAGGGTATAAATCCCCGGTATTTGACTTGTTTCGATAAATGCGGTGGCGCACATGCTAGGCGATGAGCGTGTGGGCGTGCACTAGTAGGGATTGTGACTTGGTCCGTCCCGTAGCGACTATTGAGCCGCGTATTTGATTTGGAAATATTATATTACCCCGTATTTTGGATATTTATACTGTGATATGGGTTGTATGCCATGTTTGGGGCCTTGTACCGACCTGTAGAAACCCTTAGGGACATTTTGACTGTTTTCCTCACTTTACTTGCTAGAAGCATATCCTCAGTCATGTTTTACCTGTTCAAATGTTTAAAACTAGTTTTATTGCTCTACTTCTAATCGTGAGGACTGTGTGGGCTGAGTTCCCTAATTCCTATCGTTGTGCTTAAGAGGTTGTGAGGTTAATGACTGAGAGAGGTCGAAAACCTAAGTGTGAGGATATTTATACATATGTTGGTTATGGATTGGGCTGCACGCCGTAGTGATATAAATATATATATATATATATATATATATATATATATATATACCATCTTGAATAATGAGACTATCTCATCTAAATGTTTAAGGTGTTAAGAAGAGTACATTTTTATTTACTTAATTATCGGTTGGAACATTTTGTAGGGTTGCAAAGGTGTGGAAAGAGTTGTAGATTGAGATGGATAAATTACTTGAGGCCAGATTTGAGAAGGGGTTCTTTTACTGAACAAGAAGAAAGAACCATTATTGATGTTCATAGAATCTTGGGAAATAGATGGGCACAAATAGCCAAACATTTGCCTGGTAGAACTGATAATGAAGTCAAGAATTTCTGGAATTCTTGCATTAAAAAGAAGCTTATTGCTCAAGGGTTAGATCCAAATACTCACAATCTCCTTATTAAGAACAAAACCAACAATTCAACCAAAGCCAAAACTCATCATCATCAAGATTCCACTTCAGTTTTCACCATTGATACTTCAACAAATAAAGAAGTAATTTCAATGGACATAAAAGCAACTCTTGCATCCTTCTCTCCTTTCCCTAGTAGTAATAATAATACTACTTCTACTACATACAATTACTCTCCTATTCTTCCCAACATTGAATACCAAAACCCTACTTTCACATGGAGTGATCAGAGAAATCAGACTGTAACAACTACGTCTCAGTCCCAAACAAGTGACAGAAATCACGTCATTACTCAAAATTCCATGTTGGATTTCGCGAGTTGTTCTTTAATGGAAAGCTCTACGAATATACGACAAGGAGAAACCGAGTATATAAATGAGAATAACATGTGGCATGGAACTGGAATTGAACCAACAACCTTAAATCCTGCCAATGGAACTGAAGAATTAATGCAAGTACAACAAGGAGAACAATTTCCAATTAAGACAAATTTTTGTGATCAAGAGGATGTTTACAAGGTTAATCATGATCAAACGGTGGAGAATACGTTTGATATCTCTAACTTTGATTTTGACTTTGTTGATTCTACATTGGTGCCTTGTGGATTGTATACTAGTGTTAATTCTATGGATCAAATTTCATGGGATTGTTAGTTAACTTCTAAAGAATTTTTAGTTGCAATTTATCTTTGTTAGTATTCTGTTGCATTATCTTGTTGGAACAGCAGATATGCAAATATAAACTAGGAAAAAGAAAATGGTGGTAATCATATTTGGGCACCATCCATTTTTCGAAATATAATGAGCTACAAGTCAAAAAAGAAATGATTATTTGAAAAGATTGATTAACTTGTGAAGATGGAAAATAATAATTATAATTTCTCTAATGTAACTATTGTCATGATTCCTTGCTATTAGTGTTGAAAATGAAAAATAATAAGCATTCAATAATTCTAGAAGGCTGGTTAAATTATACATTGATTTGATTCAATCTAACTTTTATTTATTTCGTTTTCACATCCTAATCTTATTATGAAAAGCACCGTTGAAGTGAAAATAATTAACGAGAAAAAAAAATATTATTCTCGTATCTAGAGAAATGAAAGGTATTTTCCTTCTTTTATTTCTGCGTATTACGCTTTTTGTTTCATTTTTGGGCGCTGGTCATGTTTTTATTACAATAGGTAGACTATCTACCGTTTGGCAACCTAGAAAATGCAATAGATATATAAATTAAAGAGCTTAAGTTCTATGTATTAACGGAGGAAGAAATTATATCGGATGGACTCTTTTAAAATTATTATTTATATTTTGACCCCGTTAAAATATTTTTGGTAAAATAGTCCCCGCTGCCAAAATTTTGAAGCCGTTGCTAGAATTTGAAGCACACTGCCAGAATTTACTTCATATTTTGTGGCAAATCCTAGTGATCGCCATATGAAAATTTTCGTTGATTGTCATGTTTTGTGACAAATCCTAGTAATTACCATATGAAAAAATTTGGTGATTGCCATATTTTGGTGATAAATCCTGATGATTAGCATATCAATAATTCTGGTGATTGCCAAGAGCGCTTTCCTAAATTGTAGCAGTGGCTATTTTCCCAAGACTTTTCTTAACGAAATCAAAAATCAATAGTGGCATCAAAATATTTTCTTTCTGCAATTCGCCCTAGATATTTACACAAAAGGTCACCTACAAGGTAATTACAAGGTAATTACAATTACCTCTCTATAATAAGTATTAAGTTGCAACCAAATAAAAATGGCAACTAACCAATTATTACCAGTCAAACAAATAACTGTCAAAGGTTAATGTTTAATGATAGTATAGAATAATCTTTACACTACCAATGTATAAATCTTATATCCATGACAAAAAAGTTTGGCTTCTGTGCACCGACAATGTACAATATTTTTTATACGCTCTGATTTACAATAGATAACTGTCTTTCGTAATCCTAATCTGGTAAAGAAAACAGTAACCTGTTCAAAAGCATAATGCATTACCATACAGCCTATTGGTAAATCATGTTCTCAAATGTATGAAGCAATAAACGTCTAAATTCTAAGGATCGTAACGGGTAAAGTTGCTTCCATGTGACCAGGAAGTCACGGTTTCAACCCGTGGAAACAGTCTCTTGCAGAAATGCAGGGTAAGGCTGCATACAATAGACCCTTGTAGTCCGGCCCTTCCCCGGGCCCTGCGCATAGCGAGAGCTCAATGCACCCGGCTGCCCTTTAGTCTTCATCCAGGAAACTTGTCTCAAGTCAACCCACATATCAGGTTTATGTTTCATATTGCATTGCTCAGATCAATTTTGCTACTTTAGGAGAATGCTAAGTTGTCCAAACTGCGCGATTCGGTGGTGCAAAATCAGACAAGGGAAGTGAAGGGGCAATGATGTGATCATAACTAGGGAATATAATTTCATGGCTCTACAACATAACGAAATTTCCAGATTTCAGCATTAGATTGTCAGTGAAACAATATAGGCTAACAAAAAAACGGCAGCCCAGTACACAAGACATCACATGTTCATGCAGGATTAGGGGAAGGGCCACACTCAAGGAGTGTGATGTAGACAGCCTACCCTAATGCAAGCATTAGTGGTTGCTTCCACGGCTCGAACCCATGACCCTCCAAGACTCCCTTCCTAAACAAAACGTCAACCAATACATATAAACTTTACATATATATCTGCTGTCAATACCGAGCTGAAAGAAAATGGAATGCCAGATCATGAAAAATATATGCAGTGTGCTTAGCCAAAACATCTTTTCCCTATTAATTCACTTTATTTGATGGGATCCCAAAGAAAGTCTTTTTATGTTTAAGAAATTTGAGCTTTATAACATATAATGATCCAAAGAGTCATAGGAAACTATGAATAATCTCATTATTAGGAACACATTTTGCAAGACATTCAAATATGATTATTGCAAAGTGTTATTCGCCGATACAAAGATCAATGTACTGCAACCTTACAAAGAGGAAAACAACTTGACCCTTCATAAGCTGCTGTCACAACATATTCTTTGGAAACCACCGATGGTATTAATCTTCATCATCATCTGCAACAAAAGTTCGAGTGAGATTAGAACAAATGAGATACAAGAGCCTAAAGAATCTACCAACGGAAAGCACACAACATAAGGGAAAGCCACCACCCAACAGGAAAATAGAATCCAGAAGAGCAACTTTCAGAATGCGCACACCTTAAAGCATAGTAACACGACCATGAAGCAAAAACTTGATTCTATTTCATGGTTGAACATAAGGGCAATCGAATCTTTTCTCCATCAGTTTTGTTGAGCCTTTGATAGCGTAATATGCATCTACTCTTTATCAAATTAGGTAGAGTACTGCGTTTCTACTCTTCATACCTAATTTTCTTAAGGGTTCCCCTGATTTTAGATATAAACTTCACTAGCCATTTCCATGCATTGCTTACCAAAATGTTAAAATCCCTTTTTTTTCTTTGATAAAGTAAAAAATGGATTTTGAACATCTTGATAAGCAATAGGTTTATGGCAGTTATGTCTAAAATGTTCAAACTCCATAGAACGAAAAATAGAGAACAAATTAACTACAAAAATTTCTTCTTGCTTTTGTTTGTTATGACAATAGAGGGGTTTTTAATCATCAACACCGATTATAATACTTCTTATTGCCTGATGCGTATACTGCTATTTGAACCGCAAACTGATAGAACAAACACCTCCATACAAGTGGTTTGTTAACATACTAATAGCAAGTACCAGTATTTGGATAGCATTTGAACCCAGGATCTCATAATGTCCGGGACTAAACCCGAATCATTAGGCTACACTTCAATGCTCGACAGGGAAGAACATCAAGGCATCAGAATTCCACAGCTATAGCTCACTATATTTGAACCCACGTCGCCTTCAGAAAAAAAATGAGTTTATTCACCTAAACAACCTAGATTTCCTTGAGTTGAGGCCAAAATAAATGGCAAATTACTTACTTTTATAAGTTCAACCATAAAAATTAGGATTTCTTATGACATGCTTCCTAGTGTCTTCATTTTTTCTGAATTTTACACCATGTCCTTCTATTTCTTTACTACTTCATATATCCTATTTTATGTGGCACACTTTCCTTTTTAGCTTATCCAAAAAAAGATTGACACATTTCTATATTTAGAAACAATTTAACTTTAACTTCTCATTTTACCCTTAATGAGATGATTTATAGCATACAAATGTTCATGACTTGTCTTAGAACACAAATCTCAAAAGTCTTTCTTTCTTTTTTTTGTCTTACCTGAAATATAAATGTAAAGCTCGTGGGATCTCAGATCATGAATTCTGAAAAAGCGTTGTTAAAATATTCTAAGAGGCCAATAAACAACCTCCATGTGCTTTGGAAGAATTTGTTTGGGAGCATTTTCCTCTTTTGCATTTTGTCCAACCTCACATTCTAGATGCTAGAGAAGAATTTTTCCAAGCTCATCAAATATTTACCTTTTTTATGCTTATGCTTTAAGTAGGAAAATATTTGCATCTCCTTGTCATTACGAGCCTTTTGAGATTGATAATTTTATTTATTTATGAAAGTTTGATTTGTCAGTATTGTCAAGAATTTCACCTTGCTAGACATTTGGTGCTAGTTCTAGAAAGAATTTATGATCCTACATGTTAGTAATTATCTAATGAAGGCCTTTCTTCCTCCCCCTTCCCTTTTCGGACCATCAAATTTTTCAAGTTTGTTCTAAAAAAAATTTTTGATCATGCGGTTAAAAATAATGATACACAAGTTTGGAGTTTGTTTTAGTCCCGCTTCCTTGACTAATAGCATAATGGCAAAAGTAAGAAAATAACACAAACACTTGAGTCAAATTTACATGCTTGATTGTTAGTATTAATAATTTTACAAACATTCTATTATAGATGGCATAGAGTAAAAATACTGTTGGAGCATAAACTTTTGAATTGTGAGAACTTGGTATCAGCCTAGTACTAAAAAAGCAAGGATGGCTCTGGCAGCATTCACAATGTTCCGTCCAAACATGTTTTGTCCTACCCTGGAGCCATCATACGTCCAATCTATACCAAAAGAAAAGAAGTTGGCATTTCCCTTAACATCTATCTAATTCGTAGTTATTGTAAAATATGAGTGATCTGGTCTACAATATTATCAAGATCATAGAGGTGATCAATTCTTTTTAGATAACTGTGTTGTACGAGTTAGCTTGTGCGCACCTCGACTAATTCCATGAAATACCTGCTACCTCACACTAGCAATAGGTACCAGGTAATTGTATCCATCAAATCTTGGGCATGTAAAAAAAATCACCTAGTGTCTTTTGTCTCCGCTGGAATTTGAACCTGAGATCTCAGGTTCTCAACCTACTTGATTGGCCAGTAGGCCAAACCCTTCGGTGTAGAGGTGATTAATTTTCTCATAAGAACAATCAATTTTTTTCTTACCGCTGATAATTCCAAACCCTTTCCCAAATCTTGGTAGAATCCAGCACATATTCCAAATAGAAATCGCTTGGTGGAAGCACAAAGGTGTGCCATTGATGATGATTTACGATTTAGGAGATGGTTTCGTCAAAATCTCCTTCTACGTGAAATTTCATCCCCCTTTTGTGTATCAAGTATCAACCCCCTATTGTACATGAAATCGATGTTTTCTCTGGACTTACGGAAGTTG